TTTTTTTTTTAAATTTTGAGGAGACAATGTTTGTGATTGTTCTTGTATAGTTCATGTGGTTTTTTAAAAGTATGGAGACTCTGAAATGTCTGGAAATTAAAGTCCTCTCTTCAAAGAGGGTACGGAAAAATAAACCGATAGACATGCCAACAAAGCATGACTGTGTTGGGAGGAATTTGAACAAATGTAGTAGGAACCCTTAAGGGGTACTTAGTGAAAGGTAGCTGGCAGGGATTTCTCTGTCTGCAGCTTGAGAATCAGCAAACCCTTCTCTGTGGTCTGGGAAGTGCTTAGACAATTGCAGTTCCCCATTTCACCAACAAGACTGGTTTGGGTTGTAGCTTCACCTGTTGAATGCTCTTTTTTCTTTTCTCCCCCTCCTTTACCATACCCCTTGGCTTTCAGACATGGCATCTAAGGCCCTATTCCTGACATGTCTGCTACCTTTTTTTTTTCTGTTAATTGAAAATAAGAGCTACTTCTCAAATAACTAAAAAACTTAAACTTGTAACTAATAGATCAAAAACTAACTTTTTTTTCCAGTAGACCTGCTGTTGTTCTGATCAGACCAGCTCTTCAGTTGTAGCTGCTTCATTACTTTTTCCTGGAACTTTTATTTTTCATCAAAATTTCCAGATACATTTTTGCATTCAATTCCAAACTGTAGAAAGCAAGTGCTATGATGTATCCTGACTTCAGTTGAGACACTTGCTTAGATGGTGTATATGTCTGGGTTCTGTTTGTCACGTGATATTTAATCACTTAAAATCTATTCTGGCTCTCCTTCCACAAAATCAGGTTAACCTCCCAGTTTTTTATTTCATTTAATATTTGGAAGGTGCTAGACAAAAGTTTCATTGCCTCTTGGCTTCACTTTCATGTATTAATTGGCAGTGTACTTCTATGATTGATATTAATCTCTTAGAGCACTATACAATGCACTGGCATGCAGGGCTTACTTTACTTCCACCTAACAGTGAAATCCATTAAAATAAGGGCTTTATTTTCAAAGCAAGTTGCTGAATAATTTGGCGTCCAGGTAGGATTGTCAGTCTGTCTTGCCCTGCTTAATATGTTGCATAACATGGGGATCTGGGTTCAGCCACTCTTGTTAGGTGCTTTCCTGTTACCTGCATTTTTCCTAGTACATTAGCTTAGACATCAGTAGCCTAATCAAGCTTACTGCTGCCAGAACTGACTTCTAATCTTCCATGTGTATTTTTCCACTTTTTCAGGTATTCTTTGATTTGATGAGGGAAATCAGAGCGAAGAAAATGTCAGAAAACAAAGACAAGAATGGCAAGAAAAGTGGCAAGAACAAGAAAAGCTTTAAAGAGAGATGTTGCTTACTGTGATACTTGGGAACTGTAAAGATCTACAGATGGAATAAGACACTTACCACTAAGGATATAGGGCTGGATTCATGGAAGGAAGTCTGTATTTACTTTTTTTTTAATTCACATATCGCCTCTTCAAAATGCAAAAACTTTGACTTATGAACCACTTAGGGGTCAGCAGAAACCTGAGCCCACTTTACACTGAGATGGTTTTGCCTTCCCAGTAACATTGAAGGCTACAGTTTTTACCAGTAAATGTAGCATTATAGGCGTGATTCTGCCTGCTGTAGAAGTATTCCCGTATGAATTTCGTAATAGTATATGAATGCCTCTTTGAAATCTGGCTTTTCCCAAAGCTGCATTGGTTTAAAAGTTACTCATCAAATTTTGGGTTAAACTTACTGTCTACACGCTCCCCAGCTTCAAAAAAGTGGATAAACCCAATATCTGGTAAGGGTTTGAGTTTCAGTCTCAGGTATGGTGGTTATACACTCCTCTTCCCCCTTCTCTAATCTCCATTCCCTCATTCAGCCTCTCAACTGTAAGATCTGCTTGATGTCTCAGTACTTTGAACTGACACTTGAGAGTCCTAACGCCAATGGTTATTGGCTTCAGCTTGCCCAACAGTCAATGCAGGATTCATTAATCAAGCCTGTAG